TTAAGAGACAAACTTTACCTGCTGGTCCTGAATATCACTCTGGTTGTTCCATCAGAATATTCTCTTCCAAGTCACCATGTAAAAAGGTTATTTTTACATCCAGTTGCTCCAGTTCCAGGTTGAACTATACAACCAGAGAAATCAGAATTCTGATTGATGCATGCTTTACCATTGAGGAGAATATTTCATTATAGTCTATGCCTTCCACTTGAGTGAATCCCTTTGCAACCAATCTAGCCTTGTATCTAGGTGAATCTTTTGAGGTTAGACCTGGTTTCCTTTTGAATATCCACTTGCCTTGCAGTTTTCTAGTTTATCTACTAGGGTCCAAGTATTGTTTTTCATTAAGGAATTGAATTCATCTTCAATTGCCCTTTTCCATTCAGTTTTATCAGATCCTAATATAGCTTCCTGAAATGTTTTAGGCTTATCATTCAGCTCTTCTTCTACCTGAAATTCATAAGCTACCAGGTCTGCATATCCTAGTCTGTTTGGAGGTTTAATGACTCTCCTGGTTCTATCCCTAGCTAGCTGATAGTTTATCAAGTCTGGCTCATGTTCTCTTTGTTCTCCTTGCTCATCCAATTGATCTGTATTAGGATTCTCAGGATTCTCCTCTGTCTCATCAGCTCCATCTTGATGATTAGGAACTACATCCTGAATTTCCAGTTCTAGAATATCTGATCCTGAGGCATTGTCAACTGTTTTTCCAGGTTCACATTCTAGTCCAGGAAGAACCTCTTCCCTAAAAATCACATCCCTACTGATTATACACTTCTTGGTTTCTAGATTCTAGAACTTATAACCTTTTACTCCTTCTAGATATCCAAGAAACATGCACTTTATAGCTCTAGGTTTCAATTTATCATCCTTTACATAAACATAAGATAGACACCCGAAAACACTTAAGTTGTCCAACTTTATAGGGTGTCCAGTTCATTTTTCTAAGGGCACCTTGAAACCTATGGCAGATGAGGGGGTTTTATTAATCAAATACACCACAGTATGTGCAGCTTTTGCCCAGAATTTTACAGGTAGCTTAGAATTTGATAGGATGCTCCTAACTTTGTCTAGGATTGTCCTATTCATTCTTTCACAGAGGCTATTTTGTTGTGGCGTATTTCTAACAGTTTTGTGCCTAACAATTCCATGGTTTTTGCAGAAACTATTGAATTCCTCATTCACAAACTCAAGACCATTATCAGTCCTAAGCCTTTTAAGTTTCTTCCCAGATTGAGTTTCAACCATTATTTTCCATTCCTTAAACCTAAGAAATGTCTCATCCTTAGTCTTCAGGAAGTATATCCAAACATGCCTAAAATAATCATCTACAAAGCTAATGAAATACCTACAGCCCCCTAGTGAGTAGTGTCTAGCTGGCCCCCATACATCTGAGTGAACATACTCAAGTGGTGAGCTTGAGTAATGTTTACCAGATTCAAATTTCACCCTGCACATTTTGCCAAAAATATAGTGTTCACAGAAGGTTAAGTTTCCAGTTTTATCCCCTCCTAATAGATTATGTTTACTCAACTCATCTAACCCTCTTTCACTAACATATGCCAACCTTTGATGCCACAATAAGGTTTTGTCCTGTGTTACTAGAGACCCTACAGCAGCTATGCCATAATTTGTCCTACCCTTTAACACATAGAGACCATTTTTCTTTTCATCTTTCATCACTACTAATGACCATTTCATTACACTAAGACTTCCACTTGAAGCTTTGTAACTTAGTCCTATTGAGTCTAGGGCGCCTAGTGATATTAGATTCCTCTTGAGGTCAGGAATGTATCTTACATCAGTGAGAGTTTTGGTTAGGCCATTGTGAAGGCTTAGCTTAACAGTACCTATGCCCTTAATGCCACATACTGCATTATTTCCCATCACAACTTTTCCACCATCTACAATTTGAAAAAAGCTAAACCACTCCCTATTTGGTGTCATGTGGTAGGTACATCCTGTGTCTAAGATCCATTCCTCGCTATTTCTACCTTCAGAGATGACTAATATCTCTGAACTTTCCTAACCTTCAGACATAACACCAACACTGCCTTCTTCTTCCTCCTTTCCATACTTCTTCTTATTTTTTCTCTCAAGACAGTCTCTCCTAAGATGTCCTACTTTGTGACAGAAGAAGCACTTCCATTTCCTAGTTTTGGACTTAGATCTATTCCTATTTTGTCCCCTCTTTTTCCAGTTTCTCTTCTCTGATCTACCCTTTACCATGAGACCTTCCTCATCACTGCCTAATGTCATTCTGTTCTCTCTATCCGTAGCAGTAATTGCTTGTACAACCTCTTCTAATTTTAGTGTCTGTCTACCATATTTTAATGTTTCTACAAAATTGGAGTAGGGTTTTGGTAGGGAATTTAGAAGAATTACAGCCTGATCTTCATTACCAACCTCTACTGATATGCTTTCTAAATCCTATATAAGTTTCAGAAAATCATCCTTATTGTCTTTTAAAGATTTCTACTCATCCATTTTAAACCCAAACAGTCTTTGTTTTAAATACAGTCTATTAGGAACAGCTTTAGATTGATACAGGGAGTCTAACCTATTCCAGATCTCAGCAGCAGTTTTCTCCTTCTTTACTTCTCGCAAGACTTTGTCACCTAGATCAAGGAGCTCTTAGCTTTGTTGAGTACATCCTGCTTCTCAGCTTCGGTCAAGGTGTCAGGCAGCTCAGATTCCCCTTTCAAAGCTAATGCTAGTTTAATCAACATAGCTTCCATTTTCATCTTCCAGAGTCCAAAATCATTGTCTCTTGTAAACTTTTCGAGTTCAAATTTAGTGGACATGTTTTTGGAATAAGATTTGCAATGACAGAAAATAAATTTCAAATAACCATAATTCATATTTGAACTCAAGCTTTGATACCAATTTGTAGTGACTAATTAGGGTTTTCAACTATGCTGATCAAATCAATCAATGAGCTAACACAATCTTATCAATAAACATGCAATCAATTCCAAAGATTAAGTAAAGCATGAAAGAACAGAATAAAAATTGACATAGGGGATTTATAGTGGTTCGACTAAGGTAGCTTTCATCCACTCTGCAAGGCACACTATAGGGTATTTCATTAATCAAGGAAACCAAGATTACTGAGAGTATACAACCAGAGAAATACAAGAAAAAACACACCCGATTAAGCCCTCTCACAACTCTGTTTTTTCTCGCACATATTGGTCTGATTTTTTACAGATCAGGACTTCGTTGATCATCCTCTAGCTGTCCAGTATGATCTGCAATCGGTTGGAGAAGATGGGCACTAGAATCTTCTATCATGAACGAAGAGCTAGGGCTGAAATGGGACCAGAGAGAAAGAGAGATTTGCTGTGAATTCGTTACAACAGAATGGCTTTCGAGTGCTAGATAAGGCACTTAAGTTTGATAGTCAAAACGATGTCGTCTTAGTTTAAGTTGAATCTGATTTCTTTGACTGATGTTGACTCCATCGTGGCAATTTCAAGCCACATCATCATCACAGAGATAATAAGAGAGAAAAAACTGATGAGGCCAATTCAAGAAACTTCCGGTTAAAAGTCAAGGTGATGTGCATGTGTTAATATGGTAGCTTTAATAAATTAAATTAAAATGGGAGAATCTTATGTCTAATACTAATAATGGTCCCGTCAGATTGTTTCAACTTGGTGAATGTATGAATTAAAATCTATTATTAAATCTTTGTCAAGCTAGGAATTGGTAGGGACAAATATCAACTTGGGCAATGGCTGTGTTTACATCGACTCAAAGTCTCCTGAACCAAAGACAAATATTTATGAAAAATAAAAAAAATAGATTGATAAACACTTCTCATAACTTTTTCTCACAAACGCTGATGTAGCAATTCGTAATTGATCAGTTCGCATTTGATTAAGCGAGACTCATTGTAAACTATAAGAGCTAATATATTACGTTTGTGAGAAAAAGTTAGTAAAAATAGTTTGGGGGTGTAATATTATTGTATGGAAAATGCACTAACTTCCAATGAATAAGAAGTTTGATTCTCTTACATGATAGTGATGCTTATGGATCAGAATCTTATTAAAAGAATTAAAATATAACTTTAATCAATACAAATGATATCCAATCAAATTACTAGTACCGAATCTTAAATATCATTGCTAGGTCTTCGCCAAATTATTCTCCTAAGGTTCTGATTATCTTACCATCAATGAGAAAATTTTTTTTGTTTCATATTCGATTTGAATTATAAGATAAAACGTTATAGTATTTAATATATATTACTTTTTGAAGTCTTCGCTTATACAATATTAAGATTATTAATTTTTCAACATAATACTAAAGCGTCTATTTGAATCCAATTCGCACACGAAAGTGTGTTAACACTAAAATATATGCATATAGAGTAATACTACACATACATCATTTTCATACAACATTTTCCATACAACATTATGTGGCAAGATATGATTGGCTAATTTAAAATTAAAATTAAACTTTCACCTAATCACATTTTGCCACATAATGTTGTATGAAAAATGTTGTATAGAAATAATGTATGTATAATATTATTCATGCATATATTATATTTTTAAGCATAACCAAGCTATTGGTATCTGAAAATATTTACAGAATTGACTCAAAAATATTTACGGAATTGACTCAACCTCTCGCATAACCTTCTCATCGGACACATACCAGAAGGACCACAATTCTATACATTTCCAGACAGCTCGTTCGATGCAAACCCAGGATCGTGTGGAAAATATGTATCAAGAAACTGTCGTTCCGATTCTGAAGTGAGGCTCCAACTCCAAGAGAAGAAGATCAGGGATCCAAGTCTCCATTTTCTATTAATCGACAAATGTTCATGATAGGGAATGCAGGCGTATTGATAACTGGAGTGCTACTTGGGCATACATTCACCACAAGAAAGCATGGATGGTTTGCTGAGAAGCAGCAATTGCAGGGAATTCGCTGTCTTTCATATTAGTGTAATCTTTAGGATCTAAAGAGCGCAGATCAAATAATCAATCAAATCATTTTTTTTCCCCTAGAGAAGGTCATATAAAGAATAGAATTTTGCCCTTAATATGCAACTTTTTGTTTGTATTTCATCCTCAGAATGGACAATCTTTTCTGCAAGGGAAATTTCTCATCATTTCTACCTAGTTTGTTTAAATAGAACACAACTTTTTTCAGAGTTAACATAACCTCCTCACTATCATTACCAAATTCTTTTTCTTGAATTCTTAGAACCCTCTTCAGCATCTCCAGTAACTCGACCTCCTCCTTCCCTAATCTTGTCTGAATGATGACCAAACAGTCAAGAGCCTCGCCTGCCATATCAATTAAATAACATAAGATGGACACATGAACAGAGTTTGGCAAGTTGAGAATAAAATTATACCAAGACATGGCTGATCACAAATATATTCAGATCATAATACAGACAAAGCAAAATAAAAAACAGAAAAGGCATACCAACAGGAAGAGAATCTTTTCCAAAAGCCTTCTCACGGATGCACAGAACCTCCAGCACTAGCTTCTCAGCTTCTTCATCCCGATTTAACTGGTAGAGAGTGACTCCAAGCTGCAACATTGGAAAGGTGATGGACTGATCATCAGGCCCCACTGTCTTCATCATGATCTCCAAACTTGTCCTAAGTAGACGCTCAGCCTCCACAAAATTCTTTGAATGTGAATAGGAGGTTGCAAGATTTATAAGGTGTGCAACTGAGCTGGGATGCTCTCTCCCTTTATAATTCTCAGTAATCAGCAAGCATTCCCCTAGTAGCTCTCGACCTTCTTTTCCTCTGAGAAGCAATCCAACAAAAGAAATACAACACTTATTCTCATAAGCTTAGCAGCATGCAATAGTATAAAACATAGCTGTATAACATAGCAGAATGCAATCTAGAGTTATGAGAGTAAAAAGACTTGCAAATGATAAGGTCAGCAAGAGTAACCACAGGTCATCAAACAATGAAGTTACAAGTTTAACTCCAAACTCAAAAAGTCAGTAGGGATATTTTCACCAAAAGATTTGACAAATTATCAATGTAAAACATCTACTGCATTGAGTCAGCCTACCAATTCCCAGTGGATAATGCCAATTGCCAAGACAGGCGATCTACATAACACAATATGAAGGTTGTTCCACTAAGAAATGAAACAAATTACACAGCCTATGTGTGCTAATATTGGTCTGATCAGAATGCATTCATGCTCCCTATAGAAATCCAATCTTGCATCAGACAATACCTTCCAACAGCATGAAGTAACTCCGCCAAATCAATCCTCATTTTCTCCATTATGCTGTCATCCAGAGCCATATATTTTGAATCCTTGATGACCTGGAGACCTTTCTTGTACAGATCAATGGCTTCATCTGTATTCCCTGCCAAATTTACACACAAAGCGATACTTAAGCTTCGGTAACATATAAACTTTCAGAGAGTGATAACACTAATTTATGAGACAGAAACTGTATAATGAACCTAAAATTCTAGAATAAAATCTTTTACACTTACAAATATTGCTGCAATATATATAAACACATCAAACAAGTAAGTTCTGTCCAAAAGTAGGAAATCTGCCACATATGGAGAGAGATAGAGAGAGAGAGCATAAAAAAGTTACCTTTTGCACACTTTGCATGGGCTAGAGAACACATAGCCATTCCAACTCTTCCATCATGTTCCCCATATTTCTTTGTATAAATCTTTTGAATTCTAAAAGGCAAATATAATAAAAAGGTGAATTATCAAATCCAAATTCTGCAAAACCCAAAAATACACATGAAAAAGAGATACAACCTTATAAAAGCACTTTCTGCAGCCACAGCTTTTCCTTCCTTAATCAAAAGATTGCCAAGACCAGATAAAGGTAGCACCAAATCCTCGCTTTCAGCACCTCTGTTTGTTTCCAAGATGGTAATCACCCGATGGTAGATTTCAACTGCTTTTGTGGCTCTTCCAACAGAGCCAAGAACTTTTGCTGTCCCCAATAATGGTGTGATAAGAAAAGTACTATTCTTCCCTAGAAGGAAAACATCATTTTGAGGAAAACATTGATTTCTGGTTTGCTGCTTTTAGTGAATTACAAAACAACAGAAGAAAACCCCAAAAATGCAACAGTAGTGATAAGACATTAAAATTGTAAAAGAATGACAAATCAGCAGAGCAGCTTAATGCCGGAAAGTGGAGGAAAAAACATATTACTTGTTCCAGTTTCTAGCCTATTTAAATATAGCATCTTAAGCAGCATAATTGCTAAAGTATTCCTTGTGAAATTGCAATTTTGTACCAAAAGCAATCAAAAGTCCCTATTTTGCGAAAAAAATTATAGCTCCGAAAGATTTACAACCAGGTATGCGTGTTCCATCAAATGAAGGACAAATAGGCAACAACGTGACTCTCCATTTTTCAATTTGCAGTATAATTGTCAAGAATAAATAATACTCTAAGATCAAAGCAAGCAATTTCATGTAGTTTTAACCATTAAAAAAAGAATGAATTTTGAGTTGGAAATTACAAAGAATTTAGAATTTCAAGGCATACATTTCAAACTGTAAATGAAGGTTCTAGAAAACATCTTAAGAGTGCTTAATCCTAGTAAAAGGTTTATTTGACGCATAGCTTCTGCTGTCCCTTTACCTTTAACAGAAACTACTAGAGATAACCAATGTAAAAATCTTAAATTGTAGTAATGCACAAAGAAGAAATATATTAGCCAACTTTATGTCAAAGAAATTGAAAGTCTGACAGCCAACAAAAGGCTAAGATTGAAGTTTTTATGCTACTCCAACAAGTAACAGAGACTGCACAGACTGGTTTCGAGGTTGTACTTACCATATCTGTTTTCCAAAATACTAATAACTCTTCGATAAACGAGCATGGATTTCTCAAACTTCCCCAACATTGAATACATACTTCCCATATGGATGAGTATTCCATCTAGAAGAGGTTCCTCATTCTTCAGACTATCAACAACTTCATTTATCTGACCATGAAGACAATGCAGCAATAAGAATGAGATGAAAAATAACATTGAGAATCTCAAAATCTACATACCAAAAGCAACAAATATGTGACCTTTAATGTTAATGTAGGACGTACTAAATGAATTGTAATATGATTTGAATTGTAAGATATACACAGGTTTAAAAGAACCACTTTTTTTACACAAATCACAACAATATTTTTGAAACATTTGACTAAGGCACTTTCAATGGCTGACACTTAATGGAAAGTGCATAACTTATGCATCTTAGAAATGACACAATTTAGATGCAATCCAACCATATAAGTGCATTAATTTAACGGCTAAAAAATTGTGGTAAAACCTGTGTACAAAATATGGGACTCTTGAACCTTAAGTCTTTTTGGCATTACACACAGGAAAAGGAAGTTACCATATTCAAAAGAGACCCAACAAACTTCAAGTCTCCAATAGCCACATATCCCAAGGCTATAATGTCAAGAATTGCAGCTTCTTCTATGCCTTTAGTGCCTGCATTTATCTGTTCTTTTACAGCTTCATAATTTGCTTGAAGCAGGTCTATGGCATCATTTTTGTTTCCCTTCATAATCATAGTTTTCACTTCATCAAATAACTCTTGCAACTGTCTCTCAAAATCACTAATACCATTCAAATGGTTACTTGAGTAGTCACGCAACGTTTTATACCTGTTAATTGCAGATTTCTGGTAGTAAATTTTCTAAGGGGATATTATGCAAATTAAAAATGCCTTCACATTTTCAAATAAACTAAACATACCAAAGCATTTATACTGGTAAAGTATATGTCTTTCTTTTCTCTCTCTCTCTTTCAGACTTTCACTCACACTTGAACACATAACCACTTGGGCTACAGTTTCTTCTTTTGGTTACTGAAAACTGAAAAGCCTTATCCTTCTCTTTATAATAAGTTGTGCTATTTTTGGTTAGTCTTTGCACGAACAAGATCTTTCACTTCCCTTGTTTCGTTGTTTGTTTCATTATTGAATTCAAGTGTATGTGCTGTCAAAGTTTGAAGCTTTTTTGTTCGTATCTGTCTGCCTTGTTGTGCTGCTGCTTTTTTCTAATGGTTTTTCTTTTTTGGTGCATTTGATATCTCAGGGACTGAGTTTCTTGACCGTATGAGCTTTCAAAGAAGGAAACTTTTGGCTTTTCTTTTGTGGGTTCTGTACTCTCTCAAGTGTTAGTAAAGTTCTTCAATGGATACTCTTGAGTGGGTTGAAACTTGTTTGAGGATTTTAAATTTAATTAAGCTTGGTGTTTGGGTAAAAGTGTTTAAAGAAAAAGTTTAAATTTGTTGCTTGAATTGAAGTGTGTTGGGTTTGTATGCAATTTAATGGAGTCTTGGAGCCATGTTTCTGGGGGGAAAGGATCTATCGCAAATGATACAATTTCACCTTCGGATTCTTCTGCAAGAAGTAAAAACATATTGATGGGCTGGGAATTGAAAAGTTTTGGTAATAACATGTTAGTCTCAGGTCAACAACAAGCTATTGAGAACCAAGGTTTTAGTGAATTTGGTATTCAAGAATTGGTAGTATAGGGTGAAATTAAAAACTAAAATCTGGAGAGAGAAAATACGGGTCCACCCGTGGGCCCACCCGTACCCGTATAGGGTAGGGCACGGGTCCAACATTTTGGACCCGTAAATCTCAACCCGTATAAGGACACGTACCCGTTTAACCCGGACCGTACCTGGCCCACCCACCCGTTTTGCCAGGTCTACATTTATCTAGTGACAACTATCAAATTTTAACAGCATACCCAGAGTCTTGATACGTCAAAATATGGATGTTTGAGGGAGGAAAAAAAAAAAAAAGCCAACATCAATAATTTCTAGAGAATGATACATTACTAGCACTTGAGAATGATCTCACCTCTGGAAGTCATCCGGATCAGAAACACCAGAAGAAACATCTACATTGGTTCCTAATGAGCCAATTGAAGCAAACTGTCTTGACCAGCAGTGACGGGCAATGGCTTTACCAGGTATCATGTAAAGCTTAATATTACAGTTCTGCTTTTGGCTACAATTGTAGAAGAATGTAATGCAATTAAGACAATGTTCTGAATACAAACGCACACCCACTTGTCCCTTCCTGAAAACATATGAAAACATTAAGGCTTGTCAGCTAACAGTATATAGGAAAAGTGAATCTTCAAATACGGTAATGACAGCCTCCAAAATTGATCTATGCAGACTAAACTGTCTCAAACTAGAGCATCAAATTCGAGCAGAAATTCAATAGATGATCATAAAAGATCACGAAAGTAACAAGAGTAGCAAGCTGGCACTTTTTAAAGACCACTTAAAGCTTTGGAAAAATCTAGTAGTATTGTGCAGTACAAAGCGTGTCCAAAGACACTCAGAGAAACACAATCATACAGGTTACAAACTCCTCTTACAAATACTTTCTTTGTCCTCGACAAAATTTAACACACTTTTAAAAAATAAAATAAGTAAAAACAAAAATAAACCGCTTCTCCATGCCATCACCGCAAAATTCATTGGAACTACACCAACCACAGACTCCAAACTAAGTTTTCTGCGATTCATTTCACATAATTCAATTTTTTTTTCTTTCGAATAGAATGTATAATTCTTGAAAATGGTTGTCAAAGGTATAATGAAAGAAAGTGTAAGCATAAGCCCAAACCTAACAAGAATGTCCATAGTTCTAAGAGTAGCCACTTAAAACACACAAGAATATCATAATTCCGATTGTAGAAACAAGAAGAAACTCAAAACAAAAATCAATTTATATATACAAGAACTAACGGAACAATAGAGAGTTAAAATTGTACATGAAACTGCTGAGAGAAGGAGAGGGGAGAAGGAAGGAGGCTGCCATGGGAGAGTTGCGAAGCAGAATCTGAGTACAAGCTCAATATTGCAGTGAGGGGCTAAGTGAGTCGACTCGGCTGGTCGCGGATTCTCCTTTTAAAAAGCCTCAACTCAAGAAACCCAATAAGGCAGAGGTACATAAGCTTATCCTAATTTTCCAATGAAATTTACAGTGTAGTCACAGCTCAATACTTTCTTAAACATAATATTACCAAAAAGCCCCTCGGATATTGGAAATTACTCTACTTGAGGTCTTCAGGGGGTGTTTTGAGATATATTACCAAAAAGCCCCTTGGATCCTCGTCTTTGTAACATAAAGCATCACCCTCATAATACATCTTCTTAACATGAAGCTTCATCCTTATAAGTTATAACATGTATGAGTACGAGAGCATTCATTGCTTAACGGCAAACTGTCGTACATGAAACGTCCCTCATAACATTTACAAAGAGTACTCATTGCTAAACTGCAAACATCCTTAATACCATTTACGAGGGTATGAAGTTCGATGTCTTCATTTTGCAAAAGTTTGGTTCCACTGATGTTACCTTCACAAGTACTGTAACCAGAGCGAATTATCTCAATCCCAATGGATTAAAGAAAACTTGTAGATCAAGGCTTTGGAATCAATTTATGTCAAGAGACAATTGCAGGAATGAAATTAACCACTAATAAGAAAAATAATTCATCATTACAAAAGGAATCATGGACATTACAACACTCCGTACTAACTTCTGAGGGTATCTATACTGTCACCGAAATTTTGAAGTATCTAGCTCATCATTTAGATTATTATCAATGAAATAAACAAAAACAAAAAAAAAATCCTCAGATGAAATTGGATTCCTCTCATCATTGTTTATTTGCCCCGGATTTTAACTTTCAGCGTCCATTGAACTTTTCCTTCTGGTAAGGGGATGGACTTTGGCAACCGCAAAGGCAGCTCATACTCTCCATAAATTGATAAAGGAGACGGTAGATGAAGATTTTCAGGTTCAATAACTACCGATAGCTGCCTTGCCACCTGAAACATTATAAAATTGTATCAGCACAACAGCGGATAAAAGATAAATAGAATTCGCATAATGAACTTTTGTCAACAGAATCTTACATTATAAAATTGTATCAGTGCAGTGTAGGATAAAAGATAAAGAATAATGAACTTTTATCAACGGAATCTTGTGAGGTTCCAAGACCCAATCCTGAATTTTTATGGTTAACTACACATTCCTAATCTAAGGAAGAACAAAAGCTACACCTCAATGAAATACCAAGCAAATTCGAAAGAAAATTGATAAAAAAATCATTAAAATTCAAACCACCATTATGTGATTCACAGGCCACAAACAACAACAAACACCATATTCTCTGAAGACAAACCAGATAAAATTACCATGAAACTCAAATTTTACTTGCACTTGCATATTGAATTTTCAAATTAGATATTCAAGAATTATACATTCATAATGACTTTTAAAATCTGCAGCCCCATCGGTTTAATCATGATGCAGTAATGTTCTCTAATCACTAAACTATGCTTCTTATCCACTTAAAACAAAATTGTTAAATCGTTTTTTCTAGTTTATGGATCAACACAGCAACTCTTTCTTCCTTATTTATAGTGCTCTGCATTCATCCACATACAACATACTTAAAAATTATGTTAAAATTTCAGTACACTGATCATATGCAATTTTCTCCAAACTTCACAAACATATGTTGAAACTTACCAAATATACTACATAGTAACCAGATTCCTATGACAAAATAGTTCAATTGTCTAAACTGGACAAAATTATCAGAAAAATAAAAGGGCAATCATTTCAATTATTGGCATGACCTTAACGGTTATCTACCTGACCTACATGTAAATGTGTGATCTATCCTAAGAATTATGTTTTCCTGTATCCTATATCAATGTTTAACAGCCATAAATAGAAATTACGAAAAATAGTTTCTTGGATGCAGGAGATCTCCAATTGAATGATTATTCATAGGTTGCACATGTCATTAGAACAAAGCTTGCTTTAGTATTCTATTAAAGAAAAAATTACAAACAAAGAGGAAAATATTATACCTCAGCCACAATCTCCTCTTTTGTCACAGGAGAGCGCACTTCTATTGGGTCATCTTTTGATTCACGAGAACGTAATTTTTCAATATTGGGGAACCTCCGCAATACCTAGAAATGCAAACTTGATCAGATAGCTTTTACCTGAAAATTTTTTTGAAGAATAGCACCCCCAAGAATCACTAGTTACACCAATCACTATGTTCTATTATAACATCTTTATTTTTTTTTTTTTTTTTTAATGTTTGTAAAAGAAAACAAACCATATTGCTCCACCTCAAGCTTAAATTAGGGGAAGAAAATAAATTTCAAAAAGGCTGAAGATATGTAAGACCAAAGATTTATATGTCCAAATCTAAAAGATGTAAAAGAAAGGACACGAACCAGTCGAGTATTCTCTAGGCGTTTTGCTGCCTTTTCATATTCCTTCAACTTATCATCCTCAGTCTTTTTGACTACTTTAACCTCTTCCACTTCCTCAGGTTGGTAAATCTGATAAAAATAGATCACAAATTAGCAAGTTGCAATTAAAATTAAAAAGAAAGGATGACCTGGAAAGAAATAAAGATTATAACAAAAGTCAAATTTATAAAGAAGTTAAGTATGTATGCTTTTAAGTATCAGAAGAAACTGTGAAATTTTCTGCATAACTGAAATTAAGATCTCTAGACAATACGAGGTCATCTACAAATGGGAGAATGTCTATAAAAATAGTGTAAATAACTAACTCATGTACGATGCAGCTATGAAGATATTTGATATTTCCAAAGAGTAGTACAGCAGATAACATTTAAGAAATGGTATCACTTGCACCATAACCAGCACATAATTTGAAGCTACTGTCTAATAATGAAAATTCAACAACATTCTACCTAAGCCACAAGCTCAGGTTCTTTCCAAGCATCTTAAATACAGTTTCGTATTGCATTCCTCAAGATTATCTGTGGTCACACACATGCACATGCACATTTTGTAAGACAATAAGTGCTTGTTTGCACATTCAATATATTTAATAGATAAATGGATACCCTGCGTTGCTCTCTGATGAGATGAGCATACTTCTCAATGTTTGGGACTGCAAGCAATTTGGGCATCAAGTGATTGCGAAAATATCCAGGTGCAACCTTCACCATCTCTCCCGCATTTCCAAGCTTTTCTATTTTCTAAACATGTAAAACTAATCAACCAATTAATTAAGAAAGCAAAATACAACTTAATATAAAAATAAAATAAAATCTTTGGTCGATTCAAAATTCACTCACCGTCGTGAGAATAACTTCCAATCGTCTATATCTGACTCCTTGACAAGCATACAATATGGGATGATGGAATGCACGACCAGCGCCCTCTTTAATAATCTGTCGGAGGGCATTTCTGCTGTGTTGAATATAAGCCATCCAATGCCTATTTCAAACTATCTACTTCAACAAAAAATTTCATAAATTAATCATTTAATCCAACCATTTGAACATCCGAAACATAACCACTAATTGATTAATTTTCATAGCTTACGACAGCAAAATCAATTAACAATTTGTAAACATTCATCAAAATTTCTAGTCAAACTGATAAACCCACCTCAAAAATGATCTTTAATTTCTAAATATTCAATCAAATTTACTACTCACAGTATAAACGCTCATAAAAAATGTTAATTATAGTTTAAGAAAATTAAAAATTTTCTTCAAATAAAAAATCCAACATAAATCCCAAAAGAACAAATCATTTTAGACAAACGAAAAAAGCACAACCCCATTATAATAAACATACTTAATGGAGAAGAATATAAACCGGCAAGCAAAGCTCTTTCAATGGAGTGAAAAATTGAGTCTTTCTAGTGTTGTTGATGTGAGGTTTTCATTGATAGTGACACAAGGAGATTGAAGATGAGATTTGGAGAGGAGAGCTGTGACCGTGGAGTGTAGGTATTCGCCGCCGTGCTCCGTCGCCGGAGTGATGGGACAGTAAGAGGTGTAAGGCTTGTATGTTTGTTTGCGGCTGCTTGGGTTTTAGGTGAAATAAGAGATCGGCTGTAGGGTTTTTTTATTATAATATTAAAACATTTTTAAACAAATATTAATAAGAATATTTGTTTATTTTCGAGTAGAGATTATGAAACGTGGCTTATTTAACATATGATTTGATATTATAAAATAGAGATTTTATGAAAAGACTGTTAATTATTTATTTTAAAACATGTAAAAGAGTATTTTTGCTTAAATTATCTTTAAAAAGTTCTAATAATCTATAAAATATACGAATATTTTTTCTTTTTTTTTACATTCGAAAAGAGTTTATAGGTAACGATGGCAATCGAAGTGAAAATCGTCGCCTCGTCCTCAAGTATTAAAAAGAGTTGTACTATTTATCTCTAATATTTTATCTTATTAAACCTTAATTTTATGAAAATCTCATTAAAATTTCTAAAATTATTTAAATATCTAAATAAATCCCATATATTTTTAAAGTTACTATTCTTATTAATATTTAACTATTTATCTCATAAACAGTATTATCAAACTTTTATTTTATATAGAATTTGATAACAACCATATTTTTTTTTTTCATGAGATCTTGTTTTGATATTAAATCAGTTATAAGACAACTCTCAATCATTAAAAAATTATTGTAACTAATTTTATTTTATTTTCATTAGATCTTGTTTTGGAGGGTGCGTTTGGTCAGCCTGTAACCGTTGGTCAACTATGTTAGGTGGTCTCGTGATCTAGGAAAAAAACTAGAACTTTTAGGTTAAAATTATTTTAGAGATGTCTAATTTCTTCAGGAGACTTGAAAACAATAGTAGACGAGATGATAGTAATAGTAACAGTAATGCTATTAGAATTAATAATCAATAACAAATCTTAAACAATAATCAAGAATTAATCAAATTAATTAACACTCAAGAGATTGCTATGGCAAAAATTTATCAACACTAACATAACTGGAACATACCACCAGTTAGGAAAGACACAACACAATATATCAAATAAGTAATTTTGAATTCATGTCAGATTATTCTATTAAAACAACAATAGATACAATAATGATAACTGAATAAAAGGTCGAAGAAATTCAACTTTTTTCTTAAGAAGCAATACATAAGCACAAACAAAACAATTATAATTTTTTACATATAGGATTAGTTCTAGTAATAGTAAAACCATTATTTAGATTAACACAAAACATTCCAATATTAGTTATGTTAAGAGACGCAAGAAATTTAAATTTTAATAACTCTTTATTAGCAATATTAAATTCAAATTTAGAAAGTGAACCAGTTTATTTTGATTGTTATCTAAATTTTACAGTAGGATTATAGGATCCAACAATAATATTGACATTAACTATTAATTTAAAAGCTACTAAATCTTACTTATAAAGATAAAGCCCAACAAGCAACATTAATATATAGGATTATTACAAAGTTATGAATACCACTATTAGTCGAAGAGTCATTAGGACGTCTCCATCGGGACACATAGTTTTTATAGAAGCTGATAAAACAAAACATAAAACTTTAACACCACAAATATTAGCTTGGGATGAAATTATTAAACAAACAAATTCAAAATTGGAAAAATTATGCTCTCCAAAACCTCTACATAATCAAAGTGAATCTAAAATATGACAAATAATACAATAACCCGATGAAACAATAAGATTAAAATTTATAGAAACTCCCTTAGAACAAAATCAACTCATTATTACTAATAAAAATCATCACAACCCTAGGAGGGAAGAAATCACTACACCTAAGCCTCCATCAACAAGTTCTACAAGTAAATTAATAGGTGTAAATGACTCCCCTCCTGTACCAAAACCTGCTTACCAAAACACATCAACTCTACCTAGTTTACCAACACAATCAAAAGTATTAGGAAATTATAGTCAAACTAATACAATTATTAAAACCTTTGAATTTAATAAATAATTATTAAAACAAGTAATAATTCTTACAAAACTATAGTAAAGAAAAAAATACAAATTTTCTTTAAATTATTTAAACCAGAAGAACAAAATACTCTTAGATCTAAATAGTATAATATACAAGAAAAATTAAAACAAAATATATATTTCTTTAATTGGTTAGAAAATAGAAAATATTATTAAGAATTAAGTGAAAAGAAAACTATTTTTGTAACAACTAATACTACAAAAATTGGCAAACATCAACCAATAAAATTATTACATCTGTATATCCACCTCTCGAAGAAATAAAAATAGAACATCAACAAGCAAAAATAATAGCATCATCCTTTAAAAGAATTAATAAAATTGATGATAATAAAAAACAACCAACTTTAAGAGATATTAAAAATATTCAACATCAAAATAATTACTCTAATCAAAATTTTCACACTATTAGTCAACAAATGGATATGATAGAAGATAAAAACTTCTCATTTAATCACAAAAATTTCAAAAAACCCCGGAAAAGAGATATTAGAAGTAGAAAATTCAAATTCAACACTTTTTTTATTCATCAAAATATGTTAAACCATTTTTTTAACCCTTTGATATTCCAAAAGAAGAAATAGTAAAATTCAATAATCACAACACTATTTTAGAAACTATTAGTAAAAAACTTAATGAATTATCACCCTCAAAATCAAACGTTAATGTCCTTTCAAAATCAACCTCAATTAAAGAACAAAATTATAAGAAAAGAAAACCCTTGCATGATAAAAGTGAAAGAATATCTAAGAAACCAATCACATGCTAAAAGTGTTAGCAAGAATGACAGTATGCTTCTAAATGTCCTATGAAAAATCAAATTAAAAATAGATACAGAATTAAAACAACAATTAGTAAATATTATTCAAACAGACTCTGAAGAAGAATCTAGTTATGACATAGATCACGCAGATATGATTTATCAAATTCAAGAAAATTCTTCTGAAACAATGAGTGAATCTTCACAAAGCTATGATGATTGTAATTGCATGGGTCCTTCTTACAGTGCAATGAAATAAATAAATATGATATTAACCTCTAGGTCAATAAATGTTATCACTAAATCAAAAAAAAATTTATTAGATATTATTGATAAAGTTTAAGATGAAGATATTAAAAATGAATATTTATTAAAACTTAAAGAGTTAGTTTTATACGAAGAAAAACAAAAAGAGATTCTTATAATTTAAAAGATATATTAAAAAGATTTGAAAAACCCACTCAACTTACTCTTAGTAACTTGCAGGAAAAAACAAACATTCTTAAAAATAAAGTCAAAGAATGACAAAAAGATAATTTTGAAACTAAGACAGATTTATCATATTTAAAAGCCTCTAAAGAAATTATAGGGCAACCATCAACATCAAAATTAGAATTAAAAATTGCTGAAGAAACTGAAGCATCATTTATTAATGAAATTTCTAGAATTCAATTTCAAAATGGCATGCTTATGTTAGAATTAATATTAATAATGAATTAGATATTATTACACAGGCTTTAATAGACATAGGAGCTATCAAAATTGTATGAGAGTGATTAATTCCAACAAAATATTATGAAAAAAAAAAAAATATTACATGGAGCTAATGGCCAACAATTAAATATTAATTACAAATTATCTAATACTCATGTATGTATAGAAAACTTTTGTATTAAAAATATATTTATTCTAACAAAAGATTTAGATCAAGATGTTATATTAGGTACTCTTATATTACTCAAATTTACCCTTTCACAGTTAATAATAAAATAATCACAACAAACATTTTAGGACAAGAAGTAATATTTAAATTTGTTAATCCTCCATTAATAAAAGACATTAATAATTTAAAAGACTTATCAACATAAAAAATAAATCTTATTAATAATAAAAAGAAACAAATTAATTTTTTAAAAGAAGAACTAAAGTATGAAAGAGTAAAGCAACAACTAAAAAATTAAAAAATTCAAGAAATTATTAAAAATTTAGAAAAACGATTTCCGCATGAAATATGCTCAACATTTCCAAATGCTTCTTAAAATAGAAAACAACATGTAGTTTGTCTTCCTTATGTCAAAAATTTTGACAAGAAAAATATACCAACAAAAGTAAGGCCTATACAAATGAATAAAGAATTACTTGAACACTGTTATAAAAAAATTAAAGATTTACAAGATAAAAAATTAATTAGACCTAGTAAATCTTCATGAAGTTGTTCTACCTTCTATGTCAATAACGTGGTAGGAAAAGAAAGAGGAGCTCCTAGATTAGTAATTAATTATAAACCATTAAATAAAGTACTACAATGGATTAGATATTCAATCCCTAACAAAAATGATTTAATTAATAGACTATATAGTGCAACAATATTCTTAAAATTTGATATGAAATCAGGATTTTGGCAAGTCCAAATATATGAATTAGATAGATAGAAAACTGCATTTAATGTTCCATTTGGTCAGTATGAATGGAATCTTATGCCCTTTGGATTAAAAAATGCCCCTTCAGAATTTCAAAATATTATGAATGATATATTTAACCCATATATACACTTTACAATAGTATATATTGATAATGTCTTAGTTTATTCAAAATCAATAGATCAGCATTTAAAATATTTAAAAATATTTGAAGAAATTATTAAAAGAAATGGATTAGTTGTTTCAGCCACAAAAATTAAATTATTCCAAACAAAAATTAGATTTTTAGGTCAGGAAATTCATAAAGGAACTATTAAACCAATTGATAGAACAATAGAATTTGTAAATAATTTTCCTAATGAATTAAGAGATAAAACTCAATTATAAAGATTTTTAGGATGTCTAAACTATGTAGCAGATTTTATCCAAGATCTTAGAAAGCTATGTGAACCATTATATCAAATGCTTAGAAAAAAATCCTCCTGTCTGGTCTAATTATCATACCTAAATAGTTAGAGAAATTAAATCCAAAATTAAATTTCTTCCTTGTCTCAA